CAGGGTCTGACTGAGTTGCGTAGCGCCTCGCTAAATTGCTAAGGCTGGTTTTGAAATCGCCATCCTCCTGCCTCAGCCTCCTGCCTCAGCCTCCCAAACTGCTGGGATTACAGGCATGCGCCACTGCACCCAGCCACCTGTGCGATTTCTTTTTCTTTCTTTCTTTTTTTTTTTTTTTAAGGTTCAAGAATAAAGCATTCTTAAAACCAAACACTCCTAAAGCGAATACTAAAAAGAAGCCCCCTTGCCGTGATTTCCTATGTGACACCCAGATATAGCGGATTACTGGGAACTACTACAAACTTCTGCACCTGGCTTTTCCCGGCGTAGTACGTTGTGGACCGCCCGTGTCCCCTGGTGGATGACTGACGTCACCCTTTCGATGGCTGTGGAGGAGTCACATTATCATATATTTTACTTGGATATCCATGTAGATATTCTATATATTAAAATATATTGTACATAAAGGAAAATTATTTAGCTCACGGTTCTGAAGGTTGAAAGGCCAGCACAGGACCGCCTCAACCTGCCCGGGCCTCGCGCAGCGAGGAAAAAGCTGAAAGGCAAAGTGCGCACACTGCGCATGCGGAGGGGACAAGCCTGGGGGGCAGCTTGCTTTATAACCGCCGGCTCCCATAACTGATCCAGTCTCGCGAGAACTGCGTGACTCCCTCTCACCAGCCCAATCGCTTCAAAGTCCCTCTAGTTCTCACATCCGCACACCGGGAGGGCTTTTCCTCTTCCTTCCTTCCTTTCCTTTTTTTTTTTTTTGATACAGAGAATTGAATTCAGTGTTGCTTTGTCACAGAACTACATCCCCTGATTTCACTTGATTTTCTTTCAAAAAAAAAATTTTTTTTTTTTAAATATCTATTTTCCAGTTGTAGTTGGACACAAATACCTTGATTTTATTTATTTATTTTTATGTGGTACTAAGGTTTGAACCCAGTGCCTCACACATGCTAGGCAAGTGCTCTGCCACTGAGCCACAGCCCCAGCCCCTGATTTTACTTACTTTTTTAATTATTATTATTTTTTTTAGTTGTCAATGGACCTTTATTTTATTTATTTATTTATATGCGGTGCTGAGAATCGAACCCAGTGTTTCATACATGCTAGGCAAGTGCTATACCATTGAGCTACAACCCCAACCCTGTTTTTTTTTTTTGTTTTTGTTTTTTTTTTTTAATTTTGACACAGGGTCTGGTTAAGTTGCCTGGGCTGACCTCTACTTGCTATCATTGGCTGGCCGCAGTGTCCTAGTTGCTAGGAGGAAAATTCCAATATGAATTTGGATGGATTGAATCATAGTCAAATCATATCCTATATTATATATATCTACATAGAGATCTATAAAACATAAAATATCTATAAAATAAATATGTATGCCTATATAATATGTAATATCAATATAAATGCATGTAAATCTATTATATATGTAATAGATACATAGGTATAAATATAAGCGTGAATCTGTATTACAAATATTTAACGGACATGGAAATGTAAATGCGTGTGTAATGTGATATTTTTATGATAGCCATATAATAGATGTATGGTTATAAACATAGATATAGGTAAATCTATATAATATTCTATAGATGCTCTGTATTTCATATATACTATGCTTACATATGTATATAATGATGTCTATAGATAGACTTTTTCCCTGCAGTGCTGCAGATGGAATCCACAGCTTTGTGCATGCTGGGCAGTTGTTCTGCCACTGAGCTCTGCTTCTAACCCACTAGAGATACCTTTCACATTAGATTATATTTTAATTATCTATTGCAGCATAGCAAGTTCCTCCAAAAATTAGTGCCTTAAAACAACACATTACAGTCAGTTGTGGTGGCGCACATTTATAATCCCAGCAACTCTGGAGACTGAAGCAGGAAGATGGCAAGTTTGAGGCCAGCCTGGGCAACTTAGTGAGACCCTGTCTCAAAAGAAAGAAAAGAAAAAGAAACTGGCAGTGTAGCTCAGTGATAAATCCCCAATTTATCAAACAACAACAACAAAAATAAAGACATTATTGTTTTGTTGTTTCTGTAGGTCAGAAATTTGGAAGCAGCATTGCTAAATGGTTGTAGCATGGGGACTTTCACCAAGTTGCTGTTAAAATGCACTGCAAAAACCATATTTGCAGGGGCTGTAGGTATAGGAAGGCTTGGCTAGGGTTGAAGGACCACCTAGTGGCTTTATTTACTGGTTGTATGGAGCTCTCCCTGGGACTGCTTGAGTGACCTCATGACAAGCATCTGACATCCCGTGCAGTAAGAGATGCAAGAAGCTACAGTGCCTTTGGTGACCTAGGCTCTGAAATGACTCCCCATCACCTTAATTTTTCCTGTTTGGTAGAAGCAAGTCCCTCAATGTCTAGTACACACTCCTGAAGAAAAGCATCAGGCCTTACCTTTCAAAGGGAGCACCACTGAATTTGCAATAGTATTTTCAAATTACAGCCAGTTCTTCCTTCTTTTCACTATTATATAAAGGAAGGATTCACTGGGTATCCTTGAACTTACTATCTATGTGCATATGTGTTAGTATTTCTGCAGAATCATAAGGATTTACTTGGCATTTTAAATTTTGATAGATTCTGTCCTATTACCCTTTCAAGTGTGGAAGAGCAGCCCTTTTATCCAAGTCAGGTGATAAACCAGGCCATAATTTTTCTTTTCTCTTTTCTTCTCTTCCTTTTTGGTGCTAGGAATAGAAACCAAGGCTTCATGTATGCTAAGCACTTGTTCTACCACTGAGGCACCCCTGCTTTTTCCTAGGTCATGATTCTGTGCATACCTGTTGAATGCAGTGATTGTGTCCATGTCAGGAATTGGGCTGAGACTGCATCATGATGCAAGAATGACAATAACATCCCTTATTCTCAAAAAAAAAAATTTTTTTTTTTTGGTGGTGCTGGAGATTGAACCCAGTGCATGCGAGGGAAGACTCTACCAACTGAACTGTATCCCCAACCCTCCTCAAAGAGTTTTAATTCTGGGCTGGGAGATACATAAGTACAGAGATCTTTTCTACATAGTGTGGTAGGGTGAGAAAAAATTATACTTGGAGGTCATAGTCCTAACCCAGTTTTTTATTGAAGCAGGTTAGCATCCATGTTGACCTGAACAAACAGTGGGGGTTAACTGAGCAAAGGAGGAGGGGAAGTGCCTCAGAAGGGACCACAGTGGGGTTTGACGTTGTAAAACATTTAGGTGAACCAGCATCAGAACTGATGACGCTGCACTTTCCATGCAGTTCTGTGAAAGGAAGGACCTTCTTTGATGTTGTCATTGTTAGTGTTGAGGGCCGGGTAGAGGGGTGAAATCTTGTGACCTCCTGGCATCTCTCTCTTGCTGGCAGAGGAAGTTTCTGACTGGTAATTTACAGATCTGCAGGTGGATGTGTCTGAGAGGAACTGAGATGGGAGGAGGAGTACTGGCCACAGGTTCGTGGCCTGGAAAGATGTATTGGGCAACTTCTTTCTGTTTCTTTGGGGCAGTGGGTCATCTTCATCTGAAAATGGCTCTGAATCTTGGTAGAAACCACAATTCTTTATTTTAGCCAAGGATGTGCCTTGAGCATTGGTCCCAAGGTCTTGCCTTCACATAGCTTCCCCTAAAGACTTCTTTTTCCCAAATGGTCCATGGTCCATAAAAGTGTGTGTGTGTGTGTGTTTGTGTGTGTGTGTGTGTGTGTTTCTGGGGGGGATCCCAGGGCCTCATACATACTAGGCAAGCAATCTACCACTGAAGTCCATAAGTTCAGAAAACATGTTTTTCAAAATATTTCCAACATGTTGAATCTGTGGCTGAGGAACCTATAGATTTGAAAGGCCAACTGTGCTGTTGATTTGTGAATGTTTGCCTGATTCCAGTTCACATATAAATATAGAAATATATATATCTTAGATATATAAATATATGTATTTTTTTTTGGTATGGGTATGGACTGAGCACTATAGTCCTTTATTTTTTTGTAGTTGTAGATGGACAGGATGCCTTTTTAATTTTATTTGTTTATTTTTATGTGGCGCTAAGGATTAGAGCCAGTGCTTCCCACAAGGTAGGCAAGTGCTCTACCACTGAGCTACAGTCCCAACCCGCTCCTTCCTTTTTTTATTTTTAATTTTGAGTATTGCTAAGTTGCACAGGCTGGCAACTTGAACTTGGCTCCTCCTGCCTCAGCATCCCAAGTAGCTAGGGTTATAGGTGTGCACCACCACACCTAGCTAAATCAAAACTATATGCAGATATTAGCATTTTGGTCTCTTTTTAAATATACAAACATCATATACTTGGGGAAATTTCCTGGGTATTTACAATATCTTCGCTTTTGTCTAAAAATTTAAGTTTTTACTTTCCTATGGAAGTTTATGTTATTTTATTTTTGGTACCAGGGATTGAACCCAGGAGGCAGTTAAACACTGAGCTATATCCCCAGCCCTTTTTTATTTAATTTAATTAATTTATTTATTTTGGTGCCAGGGATTGAGCCCAGGGGTGCTTAACTCCTTAGCTACATCCCAGCCCGTTTTATATTTTATTTAGAGACAGGGTTTTGCTAGGTTGCTTAGAGCCTTACTAAATTGCCCACGCTGAACTCAATCTCGAGATCCTCCTGCCTCAGCCTCCCAAGCCAACTGAGATTACTGGCGCGTACCACCACACCTAGCTAATTTCTTTATTTCTGTGCACAGAAGTTCTAATATTTTGCTCCTATATCTCAATGGATCTGTACTTTGCATTCAATAGCCAGGGTGTCAGAACCTTCAATGTGATTGGCAAGTCTTTCTTTTGAGTTTATTCATTGCATCCTCCACTGTCCTTGGGGTTTTGATATTTCATTCTGTTTAATTTCCTGGGAATCGGACTGTGATGGATGGGATTACATTTCTGTTTCATTCTTTGGTTGACAGGAAACAGAAATGCGAAATGTGGTCAGTTTCCGATTCTAGTTTTGAGCAACTTTCTTCTTCCCCTTTTCTTCTCTCATAGTGGAAGGCAAGTGTGGAAGAAACGAGTTTCAATGTCTGGATGGAAAATGCATCTCCTACAAGTGGGTCTGTGACGGCAGCCCCGAGTGCCAGGATGGCTCTGACGAGTCCCAGGAGACATGCAGTGAGTTCCTTTGAGCATACCCCACCATCTACCCCGACTCCACCACTGAGCTACATCCCAGCCCCTCCTGACTCTTTTTAATAATGACCTGTACAAAAGTGGCCAAGTGAATGAATGAACCACAAATTAGGAGATGGGGAGAGATGTTCCAGGTTGAGCATCCTTTATCCAAAAATCCATGTTTTGAAATCCTTCAAAATCCAACCTTTATTGTTATTATTAGGTACTGGGGATTGAACCTGGAAATGCTATATCCCCAGCCTTTTTTTTTTTTTTTTTGGTACCAGGGACTAAACTCATGGGTACTTAACCACTGAGCCACATCCCCAGACCTTTTTTATATTTTACTGAGACACCTGTCTCACTGAGTTGTTTAGGGCCTCAATGAATTGCTGAGACTGGCCTTGAACTTGTGATATCCCTATTTTAGTCTCCCAAGTTGGTAGGATTACAGGTGTGTACCACCACCTTGCCCAGCAAAATCCAGAACTTTTTGGGTGTTGATATATAAGTGGAAAATTCCACACTTGACCTCATGCGAAGGGTCACAGTCAAAACACAGGTGCTCTAAAGATAGTATATAGAATTACCCTCATATAAGGTGTGCATATAAGGTGTGCATATAAGGTGTATGTGGAAACATCAATGGATTTCCTTAGACTTGGGTCCCATCCCCAAGACATCTCATTATATATATGCAAATATTATAAAACCCCAAATCTGAAACTCTTCTGATTCCAAGCATTTGCATTTCAGATAAAGGCTCCTCAGCTTGTACTAGAGTTTTCTTCCTTCTTTTTTTTGAATGTGTGTGGTGCCAGGTTGAAACCCAGGGCCTCATGCCTGCTAACTAAACACATGCTCTACCACTGAGTGCTACCTCAGCCTCTCTGGCCATATCTTTATTGAGGTAAATTTCCCCTAATATAAAGCAAATAGCTCAGAAGCGTTAATGCCTTCACAGTGCTGCTCAGCCACCACCTCTAGCTCCTGCAAAATCTTTGCATCACCTAATGTCTATTTTTTAAAAAATATTTATTTTTTAGTAGTAGTTGGACACAATACCTGTATTTTGTTTATTTATTTTTATGTGGTGCTGAGGATCGAACCAGGGCCTCACACGTCCTAGGCGAGCGCTCTACTGCTGAGCCACAACCCCAGCCCCTCAATGTCTAATTTTTAACAAATACCATTGCATGACTTTCGTTTTGAGCTATAAAGTTAGGGTTGGCCTCCACTTTCTGAAAAGTTCTGGAGTTTTCTTTGACAAAGGTGGGCCTTGGGATACCAGCTGATCTGCATTCGAGTTAGGGTTTAATCTTTTTTCTCCCTTAGTGTCCGTCACCTGCAAATCGGGGGACTTCAACTGTGGGGGCCATGTCAACCGCTGCATTCCTAACTTTTGGAAATGCGATGGCCAAGTGGACTGTGAGAATGGCTCAGACGAGCAAAACTGTCGTAAGTGTGTCCCAGTAGCTTGCCCACCCCAGGCCATTTGTGTGTGACAGGTCCAGCCTGTGCCAGAGCCCACCAGGGCTCTGGGGAGTGGGAAGTAGACAAGCATTGTTCCCCAGGGGGCTGTATCTCACCTCTCAAATTCCACTATGACAAGGAGCACTGCAGTGGAGGAGCGAGTACCTGTCCCAGGGTTGCCGAGCACCCTCAGGCTGTTCTTTTTTGAGGGGGGACCCAGGATTGAACTCAGTGGCTCTTAACCACTGAGCCACATCCCCAGCCCTTTTTTGTATTTTATTTAGAGACAGGGTCTCATCGAGTGCTTAGGGCCCTGATAAGTTGCTGAAGCTGGCTTTGAACTCGCGATCCTCCTCCCTCAGCCTCCTGAGCCTGGGATTACAGGTGTGCACCACCATGCCCAGCTTCAGGCTGTTCTTGATGAGTGCCTGCCACCTGGCCCATGCAGCTGTGAGCCACCATGACCACTGCCAGCCACCCTGTGAGGCTGAGCTCAGTTATACATGACAGTATACCTCATATTATAAAATAACATTATATGTAATAAAATAATCTTATAAACATATTTTATTTCTCATAAAATAAAATAATCTAACAACATGATTTTTAATGAATTTTATATAAATTTATATAATAAATCATGAAGTAATATATAATATGATAATTCTAAAATATTATGAAACAATATTTTCAAATAATAAAAATATTATGAAATAATAAAAATGTACTGTATTAAAAGGAATTTAAAGCTTACAAGAACTGGGCTGTGGCTAGTGGTAGAGCCCCATCCTGCCACAGGTGAGGCCCTCAATGGGATCTCCTCCAGCTGCACACACACAGAGGAGAAACAAAACTTATGGGTTGTTTATTTCTAGATTTTCCATTATGTGTGTGTGTGTGTGTGTGAATATATATATATATATATATTTGGTACCAGGGATTGAACTCAGGGTCACTCAACCCCTGAGTCACAGCCCCAGCCCTATTTTGGGTTTTATTTAGGGACAGGGTCTCTCTGAGTTGCTTAGCCCTGGCTATTGCTGAGGCTGGCTCTGCACTGGCCATCCTCCTGCCTCAGCCTCCCGAGCTGCTGGTCTATTTAATATTTTTAGGCTAGATTCAGTGCTAGGCACCAGAATTGTGGAAAGTGAGGCCGTGGATCAGGGAGCAGGCCTGCTGTATGTTTATTTCTTGTTTTTTGGTGCCTGGGATCAGACCCAGGGCTGCTCACAATGCCGCAGAGCGTGGTGGGGCCTGCGCTCAGCCACAACCCCAGGTGACCCAGGTGACAGGGTGGCCGCCTCCTGTCTGTCTCCGCAGCTGCCAAGACCTGCTCCCAGGACGAGTTCCGCTGCCACGACGGCAAGTGCATCTCGCAGCATTTTGTCTGTGACCGGGACCGAGACTGCTTGGACGGCTCGGACGAGGGCTCCTGCCCGGTGACCACCTGCGGCCCCGCCAGCTTCCGCTGCAATAGCTCCGCCTGCATCCCGGAGCTGTGGGCTTGCGACAGTGACCCCGACTGCGAGGACGGCTCAGACGAGTGGCCTCAGCGCTGCGGGGGCCGCGACACATCCAGCCCCCAGCGGGACTCCGGCCCCTGTTCCTCCCTTGAGTTCCACTGTGGCAGCGGCGAGTGTATCCACGGCAGCTGGAGGTGCGACGGCGGCCCTGACTGCAAGGACAAGTCCGACGAGGAGAACTGCAGTATGTGTGCAGGGGGTCTTGTCACTGTCCCCTAGGCGGGGGGCCTGCTGCTAGCTGTGGGTGCTTAATAATTTTGAATTCCCCAGCAAGAAAGTTGGTTCTATTTCTTTTTTTTTTTCGTTTTGGTGGTACTGGAGGTGACCCAGGGCTTTGCCTGTGGCAGGCGAGCACTTGACCCCGGAGCTCCCTCCCTAGCCCGAGTTTGTTCTGTGCTGCTTCTTGTGGTCATACTGATCCCATTAAGAAGGAAGTAGTCCCCAGAGCAGAATTGTCTTTTATGTTTTTGTGGTACCAGGGATTGACCTGAGGGGCACTTAACCATTGAGCCACATCCCCAGCCCTTTTTTGTATTTTATTTAGAGACAGGCTTTGAGTTGCTTAGCACCTCAATAAGTTGCTGAGGCTGGTTTTGAACTCACAATCCTCCTGCCTTAGCTTCTGAGTTACTGGGATTACAAGTGTGCCCCACGGTGCCCAGCCTTTTTTTATTTTTTTAATTTAAGTTAGGATCTCACTAAGCTTCTGAAATTTCAAAGTTGTAATCCTTCTGCCTTAGCCTCCCAAGTAGCTGGGGTTACAGGCATGCTAATCTTTTTTTGAAAGGGGAGTATGCTAGTTCATTTGGTTTACAAAATACCTGAGGCCGGAAACTTTATAAATGAAAAAGTTTATTTAATGCAGTTCTGGGAACTTAAGGCATTGGCATCAGCTTGGCAGATGGCACAGGGAGTGTGTATAAGAGGGAGAGATTACAGGTGAGGCAGGAAGTCAGAGACAAAGAAGAGGCTAGTGATGCGCTCTCACTCTGCACCAAGTCTGGTTTTTTTTATATTAATTAATTAATTTTACAGTATTTTAGATGTATTTTGACATATACTACACAAATGGAGCACAGCTTCTCATTCCTCTGGCTGAACAGGGTGCAGAGTTGTTCCAATACTGTAATCATACGTGTATATATAGTAATAATGTCTGTCTCTTTCTATCGTCCTTCTCATCCCCACAGCCCCACTCTTCCCCTCCCTCCCCTCTACACAAAGTTTCTTCATTATTTCATATCCCCTCGCCCCACTATGGATCAGCTTCTGCTTCTAATAAGAAGAAAAACATTCTGTTTTAGGGTTTTTGGGACTGGCTTATTTCACTTAGCATGATATGCTCTAGTTCTGTTTACCTGCAAGTGCCTTAATTTCATTTTCTTTAAGGCTGAGTAATATTTCAGTGTGTGTATGTACCATATTTTCTTCTTTCTTTCCTTTTTTTTTTGTACTTTTTGTATTTTTTAAAAAAATATTTTTTAGTTCTAGATAGACACAATACCTTTATTTATCTTTAGGTGGTGCTGAGGAGCAAACCCAGGACCCCATATAAGCTAGGCAAGCACTCTACCACTGAGCCACAACCGTAGACCTGTTTTTGTTTATTTGTTTATTTATATATTTGTTTATTTATTTATTTATTTATGTGGTGCTGAGGATAAAACTCAGTTTTTCACATGGGCTAGGCAAGCACCTTACCACTGAGCCACAACCCCAGCCCCCCACATTTTCTTTTTCCATTTCTCCATTCCTCTGTTGAAGGGCATCTAGGTTGGTTCCATAGTTGAGCTATCGTGAATTGAGCAGCTGTAAACATTGATGTGGCTGTGTCACTGTAGTATGCTGATTTTAAGTTCTTTGGGTATAAACTGAGGAGTGGGACAGCTGGGTCAGATAGTAGTTCCATTGCAAGTATTCTAAGGAATCTCCATACTGCTTTCCATAGTGGTTTATACCCCATCTCTTTTTCTGGGGGGCAGGGGTGCTGGGGATTGAACCCAGGGTCTTGTGAATGCAAGGCAAGCACTCTACCAACTGAGCTACAGCCCCAGCCCTATACCCCAGCTCTTAGAGGTTCCACCACACTGGGTTCAAGCTTCCAGCACAGTAACCTGCAGGAGACAAATCACATGCAGACCACACCACAGGAAGCGACCTACAAGTTGCAGTATTATTGACCCAGAAAGAATCCTGGGTTTCAGGCCTGGTTGGTAACAACTAAGTTTTGTGACCTTTGGCTGAGCACTTGACTTCACTATGCACTGGTTGCCCCTGATAGGGTTGGGTAACTGCATCGATCTTTATAGGCTTTGATTAGGTTCCAGGGCCACCAAGTGCAACTTTCTGCAGTGGTAGCAATATCCCAGAACCCTGCATGGCCAGTGTGGCATGTTCACCTGGCGAACAGAATTTTGAACTTTACTGAATTTTGTTTTTTAATATATAAGTTGCTGATAGACTTTATTTTCCTTATTTATATGTGGTGCTGAGAAACCCAGTGCCTCACACATGCTAGGCAAGCACTCTACCACTGAGCCATAACCCCAGCCCAACTTTACTGAATTTTAAGTAATTAAAAGTTAAGTAGCTATACGTGGTCAGTGGTTTGTGTGTTGGAGAGTTCAGATAAAAAACGTGACTCTGGATCTAGCTCAGTGTTTTGGTTCCTTAAACACGTTGGTTAGCTCCACTGTGTATCCAGAAGATGATTTCGTTTTTCTGGGGGTTTTCGTACCTATGCTCAGACACACAGCGGTGTTCAGAGTTAAGCACTGTGTGGGTGTAGCTACGATGTTTGGTTTTGTCGGTGCCGAGCATTGAACCCAGGGCCTTGTGCAGGCTAAACAAGTCCAGAGCTTCACCCCCAGCCCTACACTGGTTTTTAAAGTCACATTTTATAAAATGATCGATAGCATTCTGTGTGATTATTGTAAAACTTGACAGAAACTCATTTGTCCCCCATAATTCATGAGCAGGCTTCCTCCACCCCTCGTTACAGATGGGGAAACCTAGGTATAGAATGGCCATATAACCTTACCCTGAATTCAGACCATAAAAGCCAAAATCTCCTTTTCAGCCATTTCAGCCATCAGGTTTATGTTCTGATATAGGCACATTCAGGCTTGCTTTTTTTTTTCTTAATGCAGAGATATACTGTGAGTTAAAAATGAGAGTTCTGGCTGGGTGCAGTGGCACACACCTGTAATCCCAGCTGCATAGGAGGCTGAGATGGGAGGATCCCAAGTTTGAGGTCAGCCTCAGCAACTTAGCAAGACTGTGTTCCAAAATAAAATAAAGTGTGGGGTGTAGCTCAGTAGCAGAGCACTTGCCTAGCATGTGTAAGGCCTCAGGTTGAAACCCCAGTATCTCCCCCCAAAAGTTTAATTTATAAGTTATACAGAGGAAAAGATTAACAACAATAGCTAATAATAGGGTAATTATTATATAGTAGCAAAATTGTCACCATCACCATTCTAGTACTCTGGGAGCATTATTCAGGAAAATAAGGATTAGTTGAATAAGAACATTGCAGTACTGTGACAGTTGATCTGATAACCGAGGTAGCTGTTTAGAGACCATCAGGCTAGTAGCATATACAGCATGGATACACTGGAAAAAAAGATGGCTCACTTCCTGGGCTAGCTACTATGGGATGGCACAAGGCTTCATTGTGATACTCAGGGCACAATTTAAACCTAAAGAATTGTTGATATTTATAATTTTTCCATTAATATATTATATATTTATTTATTAGTACTAATCAGTTATACATGACCGTAGAAAGCCTCTTCTATTCATCGGACACAAATGGAGGAGAATTTTGCACTTCTGTGTGAAGTAGAGTCACACCATTTGTGCAATCATACATGTAACTAGGGTGATGATGTCCGCCTCACTCCACCATCTTTTCTACCCCTTTTCCATCTCCCCCCTCCCCTTTACACCATCCAGAGTTCCTCCAATTTATCCCATGCCCCACCCCCCATATGGATCAGGATCCACTTATCACAGAAAACATTCGGCCCCTGGTTTTTTGAGATGAGCTTCTCTTGCTTAGCATGATATTCTCCAACTCCCTCCATCCATTTACCTGCAGATGCCATAATTTTATTCACAAGTAATATTCCCTTGTGTATGTGTGCCATTGATATTTTGAGACTGCAGTTGAACGTGTGGCTGAAACTGTTGAAAGGAGAACTCTGGACAAAGGCAGAGCACTGTGTTTCTTTTTCTCCAGTTGCCCCTCCTTGGAAAATCAGAACATTCTTTTCTTTCTTAGCTGTGGCCACCTGCCGCCCTGATGAATTCCAGTGCTCCGATGGGACCTGCATCCATGGTAGCCGGCAGTGTGACAGGGAGCATGACTGCAAGGACATGAGTGATGAAGTCGGCTGCGTCAATGGTGAGCCGAGCCCTGGTTTCCTGTTAGCATCGTTCAGTGCTTTGCTGTTTGTAAATGTTGGGGGACTGTGGGTCTCAGATGAGGGAAGGCACCCACCTGCTCACTAGCTGTGGGTTGTTGGGCAAGTGGCTTGATCCTCCTTACCCTCACCTCCACTGATCTGGAAAATGTGCATAAGGATAGCTGTGACTTCAAGACCCCATGCGCACAGACCTCTGTCTCTGAGATCACAGTTGTATATAAGATCCAATTTCAGCTGGCTGCGATGGCGCACGCCTGTCATCCCAGCGGCTCAGGAGGCTGAGGCAGGAGGGTCGTGAGTTCAAAGCCAGCCTCAGCCACTTAGTGAGGCCCCAAGCAACTCAGCAAGACCCTGTCTTTAAATAAAACACAAAATAGGGCTGAGGATGTGGCTCAGTAGCCGAGTGCCCCTGAGTTCAGTCCCCAGTACCTGCCCACCCCCCAAAATAAAAAGATCCAATTTCACTTGTGAAGCCCTTCCCTGTATTCACGAGGTGGCTCTCCTCCTGGAAATGCCCTCAGGAGACAACTGTGTCCTGCACTAGGCTCTGCAGTGTGCCCTGAGCACCATGGAGCAAGACACTGGGTGCCATGTAAGATTCCTCAGTGTGAGATTCTTTTTTTTTTTTAATTTATTTATAGCAAAATACACACCATACATAATTAGCATCTCAGGCTTGTTTTTGTTCTGTTGTGCTGCAGATTGAACGTAGGGCCGTGGCACATGCCAAGCAAGCACGTAGGTATTTCTAACTGTGCAGCTCGGTGACATTAAATACATTCACATTGTTGTGCAGCCATCATCACTGTCCATCTCCAACGCTGTTTTCATCTCGCAAAACTGAAACTCTGTCCCCATTAATCGCTAACTCCCCATCCTCCTCCCCAGTCCCTGGCACCTGCCATTATACTGTCTGTCTCTGTGGGTCTGATGACTTCGTGGACCCCCTGTGAGTGGAATTGTGTAGTAGTTGTCCTTTTGTGACTGGCTTATTTCACTGAGCATGTCTTCAGGGTCCATGTTCTAGTCTGTGTCCAGATTTCTTTTTTAAGGCCAAATAATATTCCATCGATTGTGCTGAGGAATCCTATTACATTCGCCCCTTGATGAATCCTTGGGTTGCCTCCATCTTTTGGCTGTGGAATAGTGCTGCTGGGAATGTGGGGGTACATAATCAATGACTTTAACCTGGTGGGGTAGCCACATGGTGGAATATGCTGCCAGGAAATGAGGCTTCAGCCACCAGCATTCACACGGGAGAACCTTACAACCTTACTGTTGGATGAAGAAGCAGTTTGAAGATTATGAGGAATTATTTTATAAGCTTCAAAAACAAACTAAATCATACACCATGTTTTTCCCTGAAGTATTAATGAAGTGGCTGAGAATGCAGCTCAGGAGTTGAGTGTTTACGTGACATGATGAGGCCCTGACCACCAAAAAATAAAAAGTAAAAATAAGGAAACGATAAAGCCAAGATTCAGGATTTTTTTCTTTTTTTAGGGCCAAAGTCTGAGGATGTAACTCAAGGCCTTGCATGTGCTAGGCAAGTGCTCTGCCACTGAGCTAAATCCCCAGCCCCAGAATTCAGGATTCCTTTGAAGGGTAGCAGGATGGGTCAAAGCCTGCTAGAATAGTCTCCATTATTTTACCATAAAGCACCAGATAATAAATATTTTTGGCCTTGCAAGGTTCAGAGTTTCTGACACAACTACACTGTTTCATACTCTGAAAGCAGCCACAGACCTTCTGTAAATGAATGGGTGTGGCTGTGTACCAATAAAACTTTATTAAATAAACAAGCAGTGGGCCATTGTTGATCCAGGGCCCTCAGTTTAATGACTTCCTGCTCTAGGTGACATTCTCACTTTAGAACTGGGTGTTAGGTTCTCAGTGCTCAGTAACCAATTACTGGGCTGGGTGTAGCTCGGTGGTAGAATGCTTCTAGTGGATCTAAGGCCCTGGATTCTGTACCCAGAACTGACAAAAAATTATCATGTTTTACTAACGGATACATTCATATTTATTCTTGTGTAAGTGAATTATTATGCTATAGAGGGTTAAGCAAGCTCCTGCAGCTCAGATGCCCCTGACTGTTCTCTTGGACTCTCATAGTGACACTGTGTGAGGGGCCCAACAAGTTCAAATGCCACAGCGGTGAATGCATCCCCCTGGACAAAGTGTGCAACTCAGCCAGAGACTGCCGGGACTGGTCAGACGAGCCCCTCAAGGAATGCGGTGAGTCCCAGATGTGGGCGTCTTAGGGAGTTTGTGGAAAGCCAAGGTGGGGGAACTAAGGTGGAGGGGACGGGAGGCCCACCCACTATAGCTCTTGGGCTCCTGTGCATCCTTAGCCCCAGGGGAGCTTCCACTCAGGGCAGGAGAGACGGGGCCAAATGGGGCGCAGTAGTACATGCCTAGAATCCCAGCTGCCCAGGAACCCAGGCAGGCGGGTCCCAAGTGCAAGGTCAAGGCCAGCCCCAGCCCCATCGGCTTTTTTTTTGGTGTGGGGAATTGAACCAAGGGGCCCATTCCCACTGAGCCACACCCCGGCCTTTTTTAATTATCATTTTTGAGAGTCACTGAATTTCCCAGGCTGGCCTTGACCTTGCAATCCTGCTGTCTCAGCCTCCTGAGTCCCTGGGATTGCAGACCTGCACCACTGCGCCCTCTGGCCACATGAACCATTTTGAAGTGTATGTTTGCTGGCATTGAATGCATTCACCCAGGTGTGACCACCCACCCTCCTTCCCTAGCACGTTTTTTCATTTTCAAAACCAAACCCCTGTCCTCATTCACCCACCGTCCCCTCCCCAGCACCTGCCTTTCTACTTCCTGTCTCTGTGGATCTCTCAGGAGTGGGATCCTCAGCACCTGGCCTTTGGTGACGCGTTTCCTTCCATCAGCACTCTGTCCCCAGGTGTTGAGAGCCACAGCCGAAAGGGGCTAAAAGAGGCTGTAACAACCTATGGTCCTCAAGCACCCTTCACTTGTCAAAAGAAACTAACTTTATTTTTAGAACCACACACGCCAAACAAAACAGCCTCTCAGGAAAAACCCTCAGAGCCTCAACTGCCACCACCGGCTTTCCACAAGCCTCTCTCTCCCCCACAAGCTTCTCCCCACCTCCCACAATCCTCCTGCTCTTGAGGCCGATTGGCTGGGTCACGTGGGTGGAGCCAAAAAAGTCCCCCAATGAGCAGCTCAGTGGTCTGAAAGGGCAGGGAAACAGCCCAATGAGCATCACCGCAGAGGAGCCAATCAGCTAGATGTTGCTGGGGCCGAGGAGCCAATCAGCTAGATGTTGCTGGGGCCGCTGTGAGCCAATCATCAGCCGGCAGCTGGAAGTTTGCTGGGGCCCCTTCAGCTGTGGCTCTCAACACCCAGGGCTCACTGTGTTAAACCGAGTGACAGTGCCATCTCAGTGCTCTCACGAGTCAGGCTGTGGCACTCCTCCGCAGTGGCAGGGGTGGGGGAGTGAGAGGCTCGAGGCTCCAGGATGATCAGTGTGTGTCCTTCCCTTGGCGCAGGGACCAACGAGTGCTTGGACAACAACGGGGGCTGTTCGCACATCTGCAATGACCTCAAGATCGGCCACGAGTGCCTGTGCCCCGATGGCTTCCGGCTCGTGGACCAGCGCAGATGCGAAGGTGATTGCCAAGCAGGGCCGAGCTCTGGGCCTCCTCAGCCTTGTGCCCACCAAGTGCTCTGCCTCAGTCTCCCTGTCTGTGAAATGGGTGGGACGGCAGTCCCCAGCGGCTGGGCGGACACTCTGTGGGTGGAACCCTGGGCACAGACTGACCGTCAGTAACCGTTCGACTCCTCAGAGGATCTTCCCTCTGGGCTTCACCGTTAGGAAATCTCTGCTGACGTAACTCGGCCCTCTGACCTGGGCCCCTGAAGTGAACGGTGAGGTCGGGTCACTTTGGGAGATGACAGTCACTTTTTTCTTTCCCAGGTTGGATGGGTTGTTCCTTAGCTGCCTCTGGGGTGCTGGTTCCATCCCTCCATCTGCCACCCTCAAAGGTGACACCTCATGTGTCTCTGTCTCCACTCAGATATCGACGAGTGTCAGGACCCTGCCACCTGCAGTCAGCTCTGTGTGAACCTGGAGGGTAGCTACAAGTGCGAGTGCGAGGAGGGCTTCCAGATGGACCCCCGCACCCAGACCTGCAAGGCCGCCGGTGAGCACGGAGGCCGCGCTGGGGCGGCATTTCCTCACCTGAACTTTGCACAGGGTAAAATCAGCAGGGACCTCTGGCAGGTGGGACTCGGGCTTGCCAGGAACCTGCCACATGTGACCAGGGGACAGCATGCAGGACCCAGCCCTGCCAGCTTAATAGGAACTAGTGCTCAGCTTCCAGGACAAGTTAGGGATGGATTTCAGGGGGCAAAGGGTGGAAAGCCATGGCATGAACTGCCCACGCCCCCTCCAGCTGTTCTTTTGTGGAGGACTGAACTCAGGGGTGCTTTGTCACTGAGTCACATTCCCAGCTCCTTTTATTTTTATGTTGAGACAAGGTCTCACTTATTTACTTAAGGCCTTGCCACGTTGCTGAGGCTGGCCTCAAGCCTGTGACCCTCGTGCCTCAGCCTCCTGAGTCACTGGATTATAGGTGTGCACCACATGCCTGGCTCCTGCTCTTTTTTTTTTTTTTTTTAATATTTATATCTTAGTTGTAGTTGGACACAATACCTTTATTTTATTTATTTATTTTTATGCTGTGCTGAGGATCAAACCCAGGGCCTCGCATGTGCTAGGTGAGCTCTCTGTCGCTGAGCCCCAGCCCCAGCCCTCCAGCTGTTTTTAATAACTAAAAGAATGTATCTCAAGGAAACAAAATTTATTTAAAACAAAGACCAAAACAGAATAGCACATCATGGAACAAAATGGTAGAAACCAAGTCATCTCTCTGTATCTGTGGAGGACTGATTGGGTCCAAGACCCCCTGCAGCTACCAAAATCCATGGAAGTTCAAGGCCCTTATGAACTAACTGTTATAATGTTTGCATAGAACCTGCACATCCCACAGAGACTTGAAATTATCTCTAGGTGACTTAGAATACCTAATACAATGTTAGTGCTGTGTGTGTGTTTATTCCACTGTTTTGTTTAGGGAATGAGATAAAAAATAATAATAATAATTTGCGTTTGGTATAGAGGCGTTTTCACCCCAAATGTTTTCAATCTACAATTGGTTAAACCTGAAGATGCAGAATCCACTCCTACAAAAGGAGCACTGTAATTGGATTTCCTTTCCATCTTTTTTTTTTTTTTAATTGTTGATGGACCTTTATTTATTTAGTAATTTTTATGTGGTGCTGAGAATCGAACGCAGTGCTTCGCCCATGCTAGGCAAGCACTCTACCAATGAGCCACAACCTCAACTCTCTTTTCCATCTTGAAGTTTGGGTTATAATCACTGCTGCGTGTCCATTCTTAGAATCCCCTTCATCCAGGGATCCCTTGCTTGCACGTGCAAGTGTCCTGAGGGAGTTGAGTTGTCTGCACATGCAAAGGCCCTTTGCTTCATGCTCTGTTCTAGCAATCTAATTACAAGGAGGCTGGATTTTGCAGAAATAACAGCCAGGCTCAGTGACACAGACCTGTAATCCCTTAGACTTGGGAGGCTGATGCAGGAGGATCGCCAGTTTGAGGCCAGTCTCGATGATTTAGCAAGACCCTGTCCAAAAAAAAATTTTTGGAAAAAAAAGAGACCATCAAATAAAATTTGAAAAAATTTTAAATTTAAAGAAAAACGTATAAAACATTGGGCTAGGGATGCGGCTCAGGGACAGAACACCTGCCTAGCATGCATGAGGCCCTGGACTCTGTCCCCAGCACTGGGGAATAAAAGGGGAAAAAATTATTAAAAAATGAATTAAAAAGAAAGGCTGGGGGTAAAACTCGGTGGTAGTGCACCCCTGGTTTTAATTCCCAGTATTAGGGAGAAAATAAGAAAAACTTTTTACGGGCTGCCTCTGTCTACCCCAGGGCCTTCACTGGCATATTAGTTGCTGCTATCACGTGTTTCCATGGCTCTCGGCCTCAGTACCTCCCATGTGTTTCCTGGTTCTGCTGGGGTGGGGGGATGATGTAGTTCCTCCCACAAAATCCCTCAGGATTGGAGGTTGTGCTTTGAACTCCATTGTGATGTTAGCATTTTACAAAGATTTCAGTGGAGTTGAAGTAGAGACTTGGGAAGGGCTGTCTTGAGAAGTCCAGTTGCAAGATATAGTTCGTTTGTTGGTGAATATTGGTGTCACAGTTAGGGCACAGCTCCCAGAATTGGGCAGACCTGGGTTTGAATCCTGGCTCAGTCCCCCGCTAGGTATGTGATCTTGGGCAAATCACTTTCCCTCTCTGAGCCTCAATCTGCTCATCTGTAAAGAGAAATTAACTAAAACCTGCTTCACAGGAATATAAGGATTCCATTAAAAAACCTAGTAAACATTAGGCAAGGTCATTACTTTTTTTTTTTTTTCAATGTGCCAGCGGTGGGACCCAGGGTGTCTATGGGCAAAGGCATGAATGGGTGAGGTCCTGTGAGCAGGCTCAGGATTCACAAGTGTGAATCATTTCCATGCAATCTGGGGCCTGGCACTGTCTTAAGTTGCCTGGTTCCTGGCTGTGGAGTGACTAGGGCAGGCAGAGTGGCCTTAGATGTCAGGGTTCCCATAGCCGAGGTGATGGCGATGTGGGCTCACTTTGGCCCCAAAGTGAGTCATTTCCTATCTCTAGGAGTTGGCTACCCCTGGGTGGGGCCTTCCCTGCAGGGTGACCGAGACCACAGGTGTGACTTGGCTAGTACACGGGGATTTCCACCCTGCTACTCTGGGTGTGCCTCTCCGATCCAGCCACACCCTGCAGAGGGACAAGTGGGGTCTCTCACCACCCTGACCGCCCTGCCCTTCCCCAGGCTCCATCGCCTACCTCTTCTTCACCAACCGCCATGAGGTGAGGAAGATGACCCTGGACCGCAGCGAGTACACCAGCCTCATCCCAAACCTCAAGAACGTGGTTGCCCTAGACACCGAGGTGGCCAGCAACAGAATCTATTGGTCTGACCTGTCCCAAAGAAAGATCTACAGGTGAGCCTCGGCCCCTCCGGCCTGCCTGACCCCCAGGTGAGGAGGGGCCCCTGGCCCTGACGGTCTGCCCTCCTCCTGTCTTAGCACCCAGATTGACAGAGCCCCCAGCTTGTCCACCTATGACACCGTCATCGGCAGTGACCTCCATGCTCCTGATGGGCTGGCTGTGGACTGGATCCACAGCAACATCTACTGGACCGATTCTGTCCTGGGCACCGTGTCCGTGGCCGACACTAAGGGCATGAAGAGGAGAACGCTGTTCCAGGAGATCGGCTCCAAGCCGAGGGCCATCGTGGTGGATCCCGTCCACGGGTGCGTGCTTACAAAGGTGGGGGGTGCAGGGGAATGAAGGGTGAACGTGCAGGCCGCAGAGCTGTTTAGGCCGCTGTTTAGGCAGTGTTTGCACTTGAGAGAAGTATGGGGTTGTCCTACGCTGTGGACAGGAGGTGGAATCAGGGCCTCTAGTTGTCTGTAAAGAAACAGGTCCAGGCACAGGGGTGCGTGCCTGTGATTCCAGCAACTTGGGAGGCTGAGGCAGGAGGATCACAAGCTCGAGGCCAACCTCAGCCACTTAGTGAGACACTGTCTCAAAATTTAAAAAAGGGATTGGGGACGTAATAAGGCATCAATTGTAAAGCATCCCTGGGTTCAAGCACCAGTTTCCCCAAAAAATAAATGAAATAGGAGCCCAGAGTTGTCAGACTGTCCTGTCTGCCTTTGGGGGCCACAGAGATGGAATCCTCATGACAGTATTATATTACCTGACATGGAAGCAGACCTTGTGATAAAAATTCAAAACCAGAAATTAAAATAGAGATGTTCTTGGTGGCACGTGGCTGTAATTCCAGCTACTCAGGAGGCTGAGGCAGGAAGGTGCAAGTTCAGGGCAGTCTCAGTAATTTAATGAGACCCCCATCTCAAAATAAAATTTAAAAGGCTGGGGCTGCAGCTCAACGGTAGAGCCTTACTTAGCATCTGCGAGGCCCTGGGTTCCATCCCAGGAACCGCAAACAAAGAGAAAGAAAGAAAATTAAGTGAGAAATTAAAAAACGAATTTGCTTAAGTATTTGGTGTCAATCTCCTGGGCCAGGATAAGGTTAGAGAGGGAAGACACGAAGGTCCTTCTTTAAGTCGGTTTGGGCAGCCCTGTGTTTGCGAAGCTCTGGCAAAGGGTGGCTGGGCGAAGGTCACTACCCTGTGAAGACCAGGAGCCCGTGGCTGACTCAGCACCTCAGCCACTGACCAGTATCCCCTGGCAGGAGGCATTGCCCCTGTCCCCTGCCCACTGCATATTCTGCCCAGTAGGCTCCCTCTGCCACCTGGCATGTGACAGGACTCATTTCACAATTGCAGTGGTGTGTTGGTGATATGGGTGGCACCCATCCTGGCACCACAATTGGAGGTGGGGGTACATTTGGCCCAGTGCAGAGGATGTGGGAGAAGGTGCACTTAGCTGTCCTCACGTGGCATCTGCAAGGGCAGGTCAGAGAGTGGCTGGGCGGGCAGAGCCTGTGGGTAAGGGCAGAGTCAGGCTGGGCCTGGATCCACCCACAAGAAAACATGCCCAGGGGTGTGGGCACCTGTTGGATGGAGGGGCGAGGCCACCTGGGTTTGGCCACACAATCTACAGGAAAGAAGGAGAGAGCGTGCCAGTCCCACTGCACTCAGGCACGAGTAGTGTGCAGACGTGTGTGTATGTAGTGCCCGCTTATCCTCAGGTGGTTCATTCCAGGACCCCCGTGGATGACTGAAACCATGCTCAGTACTGACCCCTCTCTTTTCCTGGACATACACATCTGTGATGAAGTTCAAATTTCAAATTAGGCACAGAGAGATAAATAAACTAATAAATAATAATAAGATAATTAGAACAATGTACTATAATAAACTTTTGTGAATGAATGCATCCTTTTTGCAGTGATATGAGATGATAAAATTCCTGTGTGAAGGACCTGGGGTTGTAGCTCAGTGGTAGAGAGCTTACCGTGCATGGTGAGACACTGGGTTCGATCCTCAACACCACATAAAACTAATAAATAAAATAAGGTTTTAAAAATTCCTATGTGGGGACTGGGGCTGTGGCTCAGTGGTAGAGTACTTGCCTAGCATGTGTGAGGCGCTAGGTTCGATCCTCAACACCAAATAAAATAAATAAAATAAAGGCATCTACAACTACAAAAAAAAATTTTTTTTTTAAATTCCTATGTGAAGAGATAGGTGAATAATGTAGGGATTGTGACATGGCATTAGGCCACTGTGTAAAGGTTACTTACACAAACACTGACACCTTAATAGTTGATTTGATAATGAGACAGCTACCAAGTGACTAACGGGTGGGTAGTATATACACTATGGACACAATAAACAAAAAGACAATTCATGTCTCCAGCAGGACAGGGCATGATGGTTTGAGATTTCATCACCTTACTCATAAAAATCATAGGAATTGTTTCTTTCTGGATTTTTCTATTTAATATTTTTAGACCATCATTGACTACAGAAAGCACAAACATGGATAAGGGGGAACAGCTATATTTTGCTCTCTTGTTTCTTTTTACTCAAATTATGCATTTCATTCTCTACCAGCTATGCAGTTCCCATGTCTGAGATCCTTCCTGTGAAACGTGGTTTATTCACTGGATAGGCCATGTTTTTCTGTGGGATTAATTTGTAGAAGTTGGACAACATGTCAAAGTATATGTTCACAGAGAGCATTAAAAAAAAAAAAATTGCCTGGCCTGGTGGCCCATGCCTGTAATCCCAGTATCTCAGGAGGCAGAAGCAGGAAGATCACAAGTTCAAAGCCAGCCTCAGCAAAAGTGAGGCACTAAATAACTCAGTGAGACCCTGTCTCTAAATAAAATACAAAATAGGGCTGGGGATGTGGCTCAGTGGTCGAGTGCCCCTGAGTTTAATTCCTGGTAACAAAAAAATAAAAATAAATTATGTTATGTAAATTTTACCACAATTTAAAAGTTAAAAGAATATTTAAAAGGCAAATAAAATATTATGAATTGAGGTGCATATTCCAGAGCCCCCTCCCTGATTTTAGCATCAGAATCTCCTGAAACTACAGAATTTTTTTATTTTGTTGTTTTTTGACTTTTTTTTTTTTTTTAGCAGTTCTGGGGATGGAAACCAAGGCCTAATGAGGCTAGGAGAGGGCTCCACCACTGAGCCACACCCCAGCCCACACAAACACTCTAAAGTCCCTCCTGGCCATTTTGGGAGGAAAAAAGAAAAAGAAAAGAATCTGGAGTCCCCAGTGGGGCCTTATCCGGAGCCTTGGCTCCACTTAGGCAGACTCTCGCCTTCAGTGTTGGCAGGAACATGTCCTGAAGAGCATCCTCATCTCTGTTTTCCCTGTTGTCCCCCCAGCTTTATGTACTGGACAGACTGGGGCACCCCTGCCAAGATCAAGAAAGGGGGCCTGAATGGTGTGGATGTCTACTCGCTGGTGACAGAAGACATCCAGTGGCCTAATGGCATCACACTGGGTACGTTGAAGGGATGCTTGGCCCCACCAGAGTCGGACCCCATCTGGGGGACACAGTAGTGGCCAGTTGCTCCCACACAAGCCCACCAGCTCCCTGAGGTTTAACCCACAGTTTTCCCTCCTCCTGACCCGGGATGTCAGCATGTGCCATGAGGCACTGGGGCGAAAGCCAGTGCCTTCAGGCTCATGTGGTTGGGGCTGCTTCTCTGGAAGCTTCTTTTCTACTATTTCTATGGTGGTTTCTTCTAGGGGGAGCAGAGTGGCCCAATTCCAAGGCTGTACCCTCCACCCAAAAATGGACAGTGCCCTGGAATTTTCTGGCCTATCTGATGATCCTCTCATTCTTGCTGCTGGTACCAGGTATCTGCATGTGACCGCCCCTTGTCCATCTGTGCATTCCAGATCTCTCCAATGGCCGCCTCTATTGGGTAGACTCCAAACTCCACTCAATCTCTAGCATTGATGTCAATGGGGGAAACCGGAAGACCATCCTGGAGGACGAGAAGCGGCTGGCCCACCCCTTCTCCTTGGCCATCTTTGAGGTGAGACCTGGAAGGAATTCACAGATCATTTTTCATTGATTTAACTGTCGGAGGTTTAAGCGTGTGGGTAATGGTGGGCACGCCTTGTCTAGTTCCTCCAAGCCAAGACTAACTAGGAAAGCTGCTCTTGACCAAGGAGAGGTCTTAGAACTGAAGATACGTCCGTTTTCTTCTCAACAAATGCGAGAATGGGGACAGGTCAGGTTCCTAATAGAGCCTTAGCGGGGAAACCTGCTCTAAAGAAATGATGCTTGGGGCTGGGGATGTGGCTCAAGCAGTAGCGCGCTCGCCTGGCATGCGTGCAGCCCGGGTTCAATCCTCAGCACCACATACAAACAAAGATGTTGTGGCCGCCGAAAACTAAAAAATAAATATTAAAAAAAAAAAGAAATGATGCTTTATTTGTACCCCCACGTTCATAGTGGCATTATTCACAATAGACACAAGGAGGAAGCAGGCCGGGTATCCACTGGTGAGTACATGAGCACAGTGCTACCCATGCTCACAGCCTTCAAAGGAAGGAAATCTTGCTGGGCATGGTGGTGCACATCTATAAGCTCAGCGGCTTGGGAGGCTGAGGCAGGAAGATCGCGAGTTCAAAGCCAGTCTCGGCAAAAGCGAGGGGCTAAGCAACTCAGTGAGACCCTGTCTCTAAAATAAATACAGAATAGGGCTGGGGATGTGGCTCAGTGGTTGAGTGGCCCTGAGTTCAATCCCCAGTATCAAAAAAAAAAAAAAAAAAAGGAAGGAAATTTTGATACATACTCCATTGGGGAGGAGCCTTGAGGACATCATGCTCAGTGAAATAATCCCGTTGTCCACTGATAGCAGGGAGCTAAAATAAGCAAATTCACAGAGACAGGCAGTAGAGTGGTGGGTGCCAGAGACTGGGAGTGGGGATTAGAAATCTTAATGGGGACAGAGTTTGAGTTTGATGAAAGTTCAAGAGATGGATGCAGTGTTGGTTTTACAATGAATGTGCTTAACACTGGTGAATTTTACACTTAAAAATAGTGTTGATGAGCTGGGCGTGGTGGTGCACACCTATAAGTCCAGTGGCTTGGGAGGCTGAGGCAGGAGGATCGCGAGTTCAAAGCCAGCCTCAGCAACTTAGCAAGGTGCTAAGCAACTCAGTGAGACCCTGTCTCTAAATAACATACAAAATAAGGCTGAGGATGTGGCTCAGTGGCTGAGTGCCCCTGAATTTAATCCCTGGTTTCCCCCACCCCCAAAAAATAGTGGCAATGAGGATCAGGGTGCAGCCACATGGAAGAGCATATGTTTAGCATGCACGAGCCCTGGGTGCTACCTAGCATCATCCCCCGAGGAAAGCCTAAAATGGAAATCTGTTTTGCCATGATTGATGCTGTGACCTAGTATTGCTTCTTCCCCCAAAGCCCCAGAGGTTAAGAGGGAGCGGAGGTCTGTGTCCTGTCCCAGTGGCTAATGGGATGGATCATCTTCCTTACCTTCGTACAGGACAAGGTATTCTGGACTGACATCATGAACGAAGCCATCTTCAGCGCCAATCGCCTCACAGGCTTGGATATTGATTTAGTGGCGGAAAACCTGCTGTCCCCCGAGGACATTGTCCTGTTCCACAATGTCACACAGCCCAGAGGTAATGATGGGCAGGCTGCACACCACCGACCCCCACCCCTGAGAAAGACATTTCCCTGCTAGTGCCCTGGAATTTTCTAGACCTTTCTGGTCTCTGATGGTATCTCATTCTCCCCTCATCTTTTTTTCTTCTTCCCCAGGTGTGAATTGGTGTGAGAGGACAGCCCTCCCCAATGGTGGCTGCCAGTACCTGTGTCTGCCAGCCCCACAAATCAACCCCCACTCCCCCAAGTTCACCTGTGTCTGCCCAGATGGTATGCTGCTCGCCAGGGACATGAGGAGCTGCCTCTCAGGTAGGCATGGTTCTTCCAAGCCTTGCTCTGCTCATCTGGGCTCTGGGAGAACAGGGCATCATAGGTCACGAAATGTGGCTTAGTTCTGGAAGCTGGGAAGTCCCAGAGCAGGGGTGAGGGACTTCTTGCTGCATCATAACATGTGGGGCGTCACACAGTGAGACAGAGGTCACACTGTGACAGTGTGCTCAGCTTTCTGGCCCTTTTGTGTGTGTGTGTGGTACTGGGGATTGAACCCAGGCTCTAACACTAAGCCACATCCCCGCCCCCAATTCTTCCTCTTCTTATAAAGGCACCAGTGTCATGGGGAGGTCCCTCTGGTGTCGGGGGTGTCCCACTCTCATGACCTCATCTAATCCTACTCACCTCCCGAAGGCCCCATCTCCAAATCCAGTTAACATACGAATTCTGGAGTGAAGTTCCCAACATACAAATTGGGGGGACACAGTGAAACCACAGCAGGGGCCGAGGTGTCCGTAACAACTCCCACCTACAAACACCTGCAAACCTAGTGTCCCACAAATAGTGCTGGAAGAACAGCACAGACAGCGATGGGTGTTTACATCCCGTGCGTTGGTGGCTGATGGCACTCGCTGCCTACTCGTCACGAGGACCACAAAGCCATCGGAGTGGTGCTCAGGCACGTGGCACTCAGGAAATGCCTATGTATTCCCGCAGAGGCGGAGCCTGTAGTGACCACCCTGGGGCCGTCCACCGTCAGGCCCGGGGTCAGCTCCACAGCCAGGAGGCCGAAGCCCACAGACCACCGACCTGCTTCCAGCGCCCCCTGGCGGCCTGCGGCTGTTCCTGGGCTCACCACCGTGGAGTCGACGACCATGTCCCACCAAGGTAAAGGCTGCGCCCACCCTGACTCCCACTGTGGTGAGGAGGATTCAGATGGGCCCCTTCAGTGGCTGCAAGCGACTTGGTGAAGAAACGGAGTGAGGGTGGATTCCTGGCCCCGAAAGGACATCTCTAATTTGGGCTGTATGTCCTGGAACCTCAGTTTCCCTCCCTATAAAATGGTTCTGGTGACAGTATCTGCCCATCTCCTGGGGATTAAGTGAGCTAAAAGGTGGGGAGAGTGTGCGCTGTTGACCCTGAGTTGGACAAGGACTGGGACCAGGAATCCATCCAGGGGCCATGGAGCTATAATACCAGTCACTGGGAGGCTGAGGCAGGAGCATCGCAAGTTCAAAGCCAACCCTGCAACTGAGCGAGACCTTGTCTCAAAATAAAAAAGGATTGCCCCTGGGTTCCATCCCCAGTACTACAAAAAAAAAAAAAAAAAAAAAAAAAAAAAACTCAGAAATCCAATAACAGTTTAATGCAGAGTTTTTTGGTGCTGAGGTTTGAACCAAGGTCTCACACATGCTAGGCAAGGCCTTTTGTTTAGTTTTTAATTTTATTTTATTATTATTATGTTTTTAATTTTTAATTTTTTTTTTAACCTTTATTTTTATTTATTTTTATGTGGTGCTGAGGATCGAATCCAGGGCCTCGCACGTGCTAGATGAGTGCTCTACTGCTGAGCCACAACCCCAGCCCTTATTATTATTATTTTTAATTATTATTATTATTTTTTAGTTTTTGATGGACCTTAATTTAATTTATTTATTTATATGTGGTGCTGAGGATCAAGCCCAGTGCCTCACACATGCTAGGCAAGTGCTGTACCACTGAGGCACACCCCCAGTCCTTTTTATTTTTATTTTGAGACAGGGTCTTACTAAGATGCCGAGGCTGGCCTTGAATTTGTGAGCCCCCTGCCTCAGCCTCCCAAACCACTGGGATTGTAGGTATATGTCATGTCCTTTTGTTGATTTACGTTGCGGGGGGGATGGAACCTCAGGCATACTGAACGCATTTTATCACCTGAGCTCCATCCCAGCTCCCAGATCTTGTCTTCTTGAAAATTTGGATGATTTTTATTCATCATGGAGTTTTTGCATCCATTATGGTATTTAAAAATAACATTAAAATAATATTGCAGCTGGGTGCTGTGATGCATACCTGTAATCCCAGCGGCTTGGGAGGCTGAGGCAGGAGGATCATGAGTTCAAAGCCAGCCTCAGCAAAGGCAAGGCACTAAGCAACTCAGTGAGACCCTGTCTCTAAATAAAATACAAAATAGGGCTGAGGATGTGGCTCAGTGGTAGAGTGCCCCTGAGTTCAAGCCCCAGTACTCCCCCAAAAAAACAGTATTGCATTATAGTTGGCCCTCTATGCTACATCTACATTTTCAGATTCAATGTAAAATACAGATTGAAAATGTTTGGAAAAAATAATTACATCTGTACTGACCATATATGGATATTTTCCTTGTCATTAGTCCCTAATGATACAGTATAAAAATGGTTTAGAGGGCTGGGGCTATAGCTCAGTTGGTGGAGTGCTTGCCTTTCATGCACAAGGCCCTGGGTTTGATCCCCAGCACCAATAACAGCTACATTGTATCAGGTATTGTAAGTCATCTAGGTATGCCTTAAAGTCCACAGGAGGATGTGCCCAGGTGACATGCAAATAACACCTTATTTTATATAAGGTGCTAGAGCATCCTTGCATTTTGGTGTCTGCAGAGGGGATGGGGTAAACCTGGAACCAACTTCCGTTGATGCTGTCCTGAGCTTTTTGGCTCCACCTTCCATTTTGTGGCTGTGGCCAGAGCCTGGCTGTCCTCACCCAACCCAGTGTTGGAACCCAGCTGGTCAGGGAATTAATCAGTAGCTCATCCATTTATCCACCAGGGGGTGCCCACTCATCATCAGCTGCAGAGAAACAGAACTCTGACTCAGAGCAGGAAAAAAAAGTACATCAGCAAGTTTCAGATCTTTTTTTTTTTTAATTTCCTTTCACAGTAGCTGAAGGCTTTGTTCAGCCATTAAGGAGATAAAACAGGAACTCCTGTGCCTGAGGGAGAACGGGAAACCTTTTTGCTTCGTGGAGAGGGGAACTCCTAGAAAATACCCCCTCAAGCCTGGTGCAGTGACGCATCTGTGTAATCTCAGCCAGATGAGAGGGAGGTTTGCAAGCTCAAGCCCAGCCTGGGCAACTTTGCAAGACTTGGTCTCAAATTTAAAAAGGGCGGTGGATGTGGTAGTGTACCCCTGGTTTAAATCCATGGTCCCAGGGCGGGCGGTGGGAGGAAACTTCCACCAATAACCTCACCGAACATTAAGAATGCATCAGTGGATTTAGGACCCTCCCGCCATCTCAGAGATGTTTCATCAATGTGAAGCTAAAGCAAGCTTTCTACCTCTGAGGTGAACCTCTCGCTCCTAGAAGACACTTCTCTTCTTTTTTTTTTTTTTTTTTGGCGGTGCTGGGGATTGAACTCAGGGCTCACACATGCTAGGCAAGCACTTTACTACTGAGCCACATCCCCAGCCCCTAGAATTTTACTTGACCTGATTCTTTACAACCCGAATTTTACTCAACCTGTTCTTTCACTATATCGTCATGTTCTACATTTGTGGATTCCACCAACAGCAGATTGAAAACTTTTGAATCTCAAGATGTTGGGTGTGGTTGTGCACACCTGCAGTCCCAACGCCTGGGGAGGCTGAGGCAGAGCATCACAAGTTTGAAGCCAGCCTGGGCAACTTAGAGATCTTGTTTCAATAATGAAAAATAAAAATGACTCAGTGGTAAAGTACCTCTGGGTTCAACGCCCAGTTCAACAACAACAACAACAAAAATTTTAAATTGTATCTGCCAGGCACGGTGGCACACACCTATAATCCCAGCCACTTGAGAGACTTAGGCAGGGAGATTGCAAGTTGGAGGCCAGCCTCTGCAATTTAGTGAGGGCTTTGGCAACTTAGTGAGACCTTGTTTCAAAATAAAACATAAAAAGGGCTGGGGATGAGGCTAAGTGGTAAAGCACCTCTGGGTTCAATCTATTGAGCACATACAGACTATGCTTTTCCTCATCATTATTCTCTAAACAATAGAGGACAGCAACTGTGTACAGGAGTATTTTCATTGTATCAGGAATTACATTGTCCCTTGAGATGATGTAAAATACATGGGAGGTATATGCTATATCAAAGTGTCTACATCTATTCTTCTGCCGTGTATAACTAATTAGAACAAATAAATTAGGGCTGGGGCTGTAGCTCAGTGGCAGAGCGCTTGCCTAGCATGTGTGAGGCACTGGGTTTTATCCTCAGCACCGCATAAAAATAAACAAATACAATAAAGGCATGATGTCCGTCTACAACTACAAAGAAACATTTTTAATTAAAAAATAATAAAATTCATGGGAGAGTGTGCATATGTTCTAGGCAAACACTACTCCTTTTTTAAAAAAATATATTTTTTGTTATAAATAAATGCAATATCTTTATTTTATGTGGTGCTGAGGTTGGAACCCACTGCCTCACACAGCTAGGCAAGCACTATACTGCTGAGCTGCAGCCCAAGCCCAACTACGCCCTTTTCTATAAGGGAGTTGGGCATCTGTGAATTTTGGTGTTTGTAGAGGTTTCTGGAACCACCCCCTGTGGGTGCTGAGGGCAGCTGTGCTCATGAGTAAGCCAGCATGGCCTGACTTGAACTTGGGAGGGCCTCCATGTTCCCTTGAACTTGAACAGGCTGATGGGATGTGTCAGCCATTCCTTTGCATGACCACTGGCTCTGCTATGTGATGCCTTTCGTACCTGGGCCTCACTGTGTCCCTTCTCCCCCGCAGTCCTGGCTGAAGTTGCCGACAGAGGGAAGGAGGAGAAGCCTCGGAGCGTGGGGGCTCTGTCCATCGTCCTCCCCATTGGTAAGCATGGCCCAGCGCAAGTCCCCTGTGACCCCACGCTCAGCCTGCTGGGCCCCCCACCTCCCTCAAGCACGGAGCAGCCCACCATGTGGCCTGTTCACCACCTTGACCACTGGCTATCACCTGCTTCCTCTAAACCCAGCCACAGCCCCAGCTTCATTCATCTAACCAATATAATTAAGCACCGACTGTGTACTGAGCCCACTTCCAGACCTGTACTGGGGACAGAACCAGGAAGCGACGTCTTACCCCTTGGGACTGCCAAGGGGCACAGTCAGGCAGCCGAGGTGCCAGCTAGGGAGAGGGCAGCCTGGGTAGGTGCTCCCAGGGGGCCTCAAGCACACCTGAGGATTCCGCTGTGCCAATGCGGGCGTTTGCAGGTGACCTAACACTGTCCCTCTCGCCCCTGCTAATAACAGTGCAGTGACCTTTCTTTTTCTGAGGAAATCCTGTTGAGGGGGCCCTAGCACACTTGCAGAGACCCATGGCCTGAATTTTGGTGCCCAGTTGTGGGTTGACAGACATGGCAGGTCGGACCCTCCAGACTGGGGGTAACACCCACCTGGGGGTCTTCCCAGCAGAGCCCAGGCCTCTAGAATCATAAAATCCAGGCAGAGTGAGCCCTTGCCTGTCCCCTGGATCCACTGTGGTTGGCACTGTGGGACCCAGGGGCAAAGGCAGGGTTTCCGGGGCTGCCCCGTTCAGAGAGCAAGGACCTAAGCACCTCCCAGCACTGGCTGTGCAAGAGACAAAGAGCCACGTGCCCCCCTCACCGACTGAGGCCAAATGAAGTGGCCAGGTCAGGCACAGCTCAGCCTGACGTGCTTGAGGCTCTGCATTCCACTCATCTCTGCAAAAAAGAAGAGTGAATTGTGGCCCCATATGCAGAGGAAAATCCCATTTCTAAAAAAGCAGTTCCCCAGTGTGCAGTTAATCGTGGAAGAATCGAGGACAAGCAGCTACCTCTGGCTCGAGGCTCATCCAGTGGCGTCAAGTAGACCTCCGTCCTGTCTGTGGAGGGTTTCCCTTTGAACAACGAGAGAGGGCTGCTTTGCATTCAGAACAAAATCACTATCAGGCCCGAGGCCTGGGATAGGTGTTGTCAGTGCCACTAAGCAGGTCCCAGTCTCAGGGCCAGCCACGTGACAGGGCCACTCTCCCCTCCCACAGTGCTGCTTGTCCTCCTCTGCTTTGGGGCCTTCCTCGTCTGGAAGAACTGGCGGCTGAAAAACATCAACAGCATCAACTTTGACAACCCCGTGTACCAGAAGACCACGGAGGACCAGGTCCACATTTGCCGCAGCCAGGACGGCTACACCTACCCCTCGGTGAGAGGCTTAGGGAGGCCGGAGCCTGGGGCCCCCGCCAGCCCTTGGCAAAAGGTCCTCGAGGGCCAAGGCAGGCCCAGGGTAGACTCTTCTGTCCATGTGCCCGCTCAAGCCTACCAAGCATTGGGCCTTCCCCTCAGAGTGCTGAGTTTCTTGACTGGGAGTGAGAGGGACATCGGATGAGCAAACAGAGGAGTCAGCTGGTGGTAGAGAAAAAGAAAGTCAAGGGCCAGGGTGCAGCTCAGTGGAAGAGGACTTGCCTACCAGGTGCAAGACCAGAGGATGGCAGAGAAGGGTTTTGAGGGGTTGGGAGCAAGGGGATGTGATTTTAGATGAAGTAATCCAAAGCAAGCTTCTCTGAGTAAGTGGGGAATGTGCAGAATGCAAAAGTGGTCAGTGCAACAGCCCTGAGGTAGGACAGTGCCTATTGGTTTGAGGCCCAGGTGGATGGATTGGAGAGAGTGGGAGGAAGTGAAGGCAGAGAGGTGATAGGGTAGACCCCAGGAGGATCTTGTGGGCTGCAGGGAGTGAGTGAGGTGGGAGCCATGGAGGGTTTTGAGCAGAAAACTCTCCTCAGGTTTTCACCAAAGCCCTCTGGTGGCTGTGCAGGAAAGAGACGATCAGGGACCAGGGTGGAGTCGTCAAGGGCCTGGTCTGGGAGGTGAGAAGTAGGTGGACTCTGGCCATGTTTACTGAATGTTGGACTGATCATTTCCGGTGTTTACCATCTTGTTGACAGAGACAGATGGTCAGCCTGGAGGATGATGTGGCGTGAACAGCTGCTGAGAGCCCAGTCCCTTCCCGGAACCTGTTGCCACTCATGGGCAGGAAGGACACTTTCTCCCGGGGCTCTTGACCACTGGCTGTCACCTACTTCCTCTAAACCCTTCTGGCACCCCCAGGGCTTCCGTCTCCTTCAGAGTCAGCAAAGACCAAAGGCGCCGCTGGCCACCAAAGCCTGGTGCCTGTCTGCCAGAGCTTTGTTTTATATATTTATTCATCTGGGAGGCAGAACAGGCTTCTGACAGCGCCGCGGAGCGGGTTCTGCTTGGGGTTTTGGTTTTTTCTTTCCGTATGAAGGAGAAGAGGAAAAGACCTGAGGAGCCGGGATGAGTCTCAGTTCCTCTAAGTTCAGCCCTTTTCTTTCCTGCATCATAAAGAAGCGGAGGACAGTGGAACACAGGAGGAGAGGCAGCAAGTGGCCTCCCTGCTGCCAGAGGGAGCCTGACCCTGAAGGGGAAGGGCGCCCCCTACTGCTAAGGCAGCACCGTCCCGCGCTTTCCCTCGCCAAAGCTTTGCCAGTTCCCCAGGAAAAGCCTGAGTCTGAATACTCGTGAAGTGCCTGAAACACCCGCTTACCTTGTTCCTGGGGACGCCCTGCCTCCGCCCTCCATGACTCGGCCAGCCCAGGAGTGGCTGTCGCCGGACTGCGCCCTGATCCCGCCCACCGGATCCTGTGCTTCGCTTCCTTTGATCTCCTCGCACTTTTTCAGTTCAGGGTTGTACATTGTGTAAATGTGACATTCTTGTTATTTTGCACTGTTTTCTGTCACGTGTGTTGGGATGGGATCACTGGCCAGAGGTGGCCCGTGTTGGTGAATGCAGGAGAAGATGCATGTGGAGGAAAGAAAAGGTCAGATCACTGGGGACTGCTTCAAAGCCATGATTGCGAATATTTGGAATAGGCAAACCCTCCTGCATTATTATTTTTTTTTTTTTCCTTTTTGCCAGTGCAGAGGGTTAAACTCAGGATTTTATACAAGCCAGGCAAGCGCTCTGCCCCTGAGCTCCCAGGCCACTTGCTTTATTTTCTTAACATCTGCCAGGTCACTTCTATGCAAAAGTCCCAGAGCCATTAACCTCCCTGTCTGTGATCCTCAAAGGCTGCGCACGAGAAACTCACAGCCTTTCACCCTTTAGGGAATCTCCTCTAGGTCATTTGATGGAACTTGAAAAGCCAGGATTCTTCCTGAAATGGCCACAAATTTTATCATTGCATGGTTGCAGGGATGGGTCAAAGAGACAGGGGCAGCCTCCCGGATCCCCACACAGAGACATCTGAAGGGACTCTTACTGGCTCAGTACGCAATGATCAAACACTGTGACTCCCGTAGGAAACTGTGCTGGTCTTTTCTTTCTGAAGCATGTAAATAGATCCCTGTGCAGCTGGTAGCACTTGTGGTTATGTTTGCACTTTGTATATTTTTGAATGTTATCATATATATATATATATATATATAAATTATTTATTTTTGCAAACCCTGTTTGCTGCAATCGTTGGTGACATTTCTAGGGGCTCTGCATTAGGGGTAGTGGTCTCTGAGATGTCTCATCTTTATGTACAAAGATTATTCACACGGACTGGACCGTGTAGCTTGTTTCAGGAGAGTGACATCCAGGTGTCCTTGTAGTTGCTTCAGGGGTATGGACACTTGCATTTTAAAACACTGTATAGATTTTTTTTTTTTATCCTGAATGTCTTACTGTGATAGATTAAATTTCTTAAATGAGCCATCTGGCTAAACCTGATGTGGTATTCCTCTATTTGCTTTCTTCCTTCATTGAGTAGTGGACTAGAGTCCTCCAGAGAAAGATCCAGAAAGGAGCACAGAATGGGCTGCAGCCTTCATGGAGTGCTGTGATTCCTTGTGGGTGATGTCACGCTCGCGGGTGATTTCATACTCCACCAGGTGCTTCTGTGAGTTAGGGCTTTGCCAGATTCCCAGCTCCATCCATTCACTTGATAAACATTTATTGAGTGCTTACTGTGTGCCAGGCACCGTTCTCAGCATTTGGGACAACTGTACGTTGAGTCCTACTGTCTTCATGGAGCTAACATTTTAGATAGAAGAGGAAAAATAGATACAGCTAACCCTCCATGTACAAGTTCCACATCCTTGGATTCAATCAACTGCAGATACAGATATTCGGGAAGAAAGGTTGTATCTGTGCTGAATATGTGTGACATTTTGCCCTGAAGAGTAAAATGTAACAGCGATGTCCCTGGCATTCACCTGGCAGTGGGTATTACAAGTCACCTAGAGCAGATGTTGGGAGGATTGCGTGGGTTCTACGCAGATGTGATTCCATTCTATATAAGGGATTTGAATGCCAAAGACTTTGGCATCTGTGGGGGTCCTGAACCAATCCCCCACAATAAGAGGGAAGATTACAAATAAGTATCTGAAAGGAATGTTCTGGAAAAAATTAAACACGGCAATGGGCAGACAAATGATTGGCAGGGAGAAGGGACTTCATCTAAGGAGGGCATTTCTAAGGAGGTGACTTTTGAGTTTGTCCACAAGCAAGAGAAAGAACTAACAGGTGGAGACTTGAGTGTTTGGTTAAAGGAACAGTGTCCCAGCCCCCCTCCCTCCGGCACTTGGTCCCCTCAACACCATCCCCCTCTCTTTCTCTCTTCCTGTATTTTTTTTTCCAGTGCTAGGGACCGAACCCAGGACTGCCTGTACACTTGGCAAGTGTTCTACCACCCAGCTACACTCCCCAGCCCAAGGCCTACACTTCTGAAGGACTTTTCCCTTCACGCCCTTTTCTAGACTGGTTGAGCTAAGATGAAGGCTAAAACTGACGGTCACATTCAGTGCTCGATATGAAAATTAAGAGATTTCACAGCCCAGTGCAATCATAAATTCTGTCAATCCTGGTCTTATTCCATGGAGGGATTGTCTGGTTAGAGTCCCGGGTCCCTGGGCACCAGCACAGCCGCCCACCTGAGCACCCTGCCCCTCCATCCCCTCTCATGCTCCCCAGCATTCCCTGCCTGGGCTTTGAGGGAGCTTCAGAGCTCTTGTCTCAGAGCAGGTACAAATCAAAGCCTGGGTGGCGCTGGCGTATCAATTGGGGCGGGGCCAGAAAGAGCCCCGCCGGGCATGGTGGTACACAGCCATAGTCCCAGCCACTTGGAGGGCTGAGATGAGGATCACCTGAGCCCAGGAGCTCAGGACCAGCCTGGGCAACAGAGGGAGACCTTGTGTCTAAAAAAGTTTAAAGGAAAAAGAAACAGCCTACAGCAGACAAAGAACTTAAGCATTGAGGATGTCGCTCAGTGGTGGAGCCGTTGCCCACCTGCCTGGCACAGCCCTGGGCTCCATCCCCAGGCCTGGTGGTGGGGTGGGAGGAATAGAGGAAAAGGAAGGCTAAAAAGACAAAACAGAAAAAAAAAAAAATCACAGGGAGGTACCAGCTCACACTTCTTGGAATGGCTGTAATTGGCAAAACAACATGAAACAACAGAAATAACCAATGTCGGCAAGGGTGTGGAGAAATCGGAACCCTGGAGCTTGGCTGGTAAACTGAAGGGGTGCAGCCACTATGGAAAGCAGTATGATGATTCCCCTCCCCGCAAAATCATCCAATTACCATAGGATCCAGAAATCCCACTTTGGGGTACAGATACAAAGACTTGAAAGCAGAATCTTGAACAGACATTGGCCCAGAAACACCATTCCTGGCCCAAAGGTGGGAGTGACCCACGTGTCCAGGAGGGACAAGCTGTGGTCCCTCCACACAAGGAAGAGTGACTCAGCCTTTGAAAGGAAGGGATTCCTGGCATCCTACATAGGGCTGGCCCTCCAGGACATTATGCTCAGTGAAGTAAGCCAGGCACAAAAGGGCAAATCCTGCCAGGAGCGGCATCCCAGCAACTGGAGAGGCTGATGCAGGAGGATCGCAAGTCTGGGCCAGCCTGGGCAACTTAGCTAGACCCTGTCTCAGAATAAAAAATAAGAAAGCCTGGGGTTGTAGCTAAGTGGTAGAGCACCCCTGGGTTCATTCTCCAGTATCAAAAAAATTAAAAATAAAAAGAGAGGATGAGATGAATAATATCATTCCCCACACAGGAGGTAGCGCAGTGGTCAGATCTTGGAGACAGGAAGTAGGATGTTGGGAGCCAGACGCTGGGGAGGGGATGGGGCCTGAGTGCTTACTGGGGACGGTTTCAGTGTGGGCAGATGGAAAAGTTCTGGAGATGGACATGATGCACAACAATGGAGACGCTCCTAACGCCATGGACGGTGCATTCAAAAGGGTTCTGATGGCAGATTTTATATTGTGTATTATCAGAAGTAATACACTTCTAGCTGGACAGAGTGGCGCACAGGCATAATCCCAGTGACTCAGGAGACTGAGGAAGGAGAACAGCACATGGGAGACCAGCCTAGCAATTTAGTAAGACCCTGTCTTAAAAAATAATTAATTTAAAACAATTTTGTACTGGGGATGGAACACAGGGACACTTAACCACAAAACCATATTCCCAGCCCTTTTTATTTAATTTTTTATTTTGAAACAGGGTCTCACTAAGTTGCTTAGGACCTTGCTAAACTGCTGAGGCTGGCCTCAAACTTGTGATCTTCCAGCCTCACCTCCTGAGTCGCGGGAGTTCTAGGAGTGTGCTACGGTACCTTTTAAAAAACCAAATTTGGAGGGGCGGGCAGTGAGGCAAACTGGAAATGAACAGCCGCAGAAGCTTCTGGAAGGGTGGAGGGTGCCGCAGAGGGTAATATTGGAGACCCAGAGCTGCTGGGAACCAGACAAAGGATCTCTGCAAATGTTGTCCTGGCAGTGACAGGGGACAGACCACAGCCCATCCCTGCCTCCTGGCCCCCTACCAGCGCCTCCCACTGGCTGAGCCCAACGGGAGCCACTTGGTAAAGGAGCCTGGGAAACCAAGGGGGGACACACCCGGCCAGCGACCTCGGATAACATCCTGGCCTTGCTCTGATTCTCTGGGTGTCCTTGGGCACCCTAGAGCCTCAGTTTCCCCACCGGAACCCAGCTCGATGCTAATCCCGGTGGCCGGGCCTCGCGAGGGGGTGGGGGCTCTGCAGTGGCCGGAGACAGGCACGGGGCCTGCTATCTTTTCGGTGTCCACCGGGTGGCACTTCCTTCCTTCCTTCCGCCTTTTGTTTTGGGAACGTTCCAAATCGCCTCCGGGAGAGAAAACCGAGCAGCCCACACGGGCAGCGTCCGGGGCCTGCACGCGGCGTTCGATAATTGCTTGATTGAATGAATCGATGCTCAACCGTGTGGCAAACAGGATCAACGAGCCGGGGTGGCTCCAAGTACAATGGGGAGGCCCGGGAGGGGGCGAGGGCGCTCCGTGGGGGTGAGGACACGGGTGGCCCAGGCTGGGCAGGGAGGCTGGGAGCAGGGCTGGGGTGGGCAGGGTGGCCCGAAGAGGCCAGAGGGGATGGACATTCCTGACGTCTGGCCCGGGCTGCTTACTGCCGAAGAAGTTACGGAAAATCTTGGGGGGCTGGGGGCGTGGCTCGGTGGTGCTTGCTTAGCGCCTGGGTTGCATCCCCAGCACCGCAAAAAATAAATAAAATTAGACAAAAAGAGCAGAGCTTCTCAGGGGTTAATTCTGCTTCTCATGATGGTTCCCTGAGGGAGGGACAGTGACAGCTGCCCATTTTAAAGAAGGAAGAGGGGAGGCATGAGGTCCCTGTGGCCGGGTTTGATGCTCTCTGCCTGCAGTTCTCTGGGTTAGAAGGGGCCCTAGGGAAAGGTGTCCGCTGCGGGCTGGTCCCCCCGGGTCTGCAGGGTTAGGGGTGCGGGCTCTGCAGGGTTAGGGGCTGTGTGCGCATGCGCGCACACGCGGATGGCGTGAGCAGTCAGGGTCTCTGTTGTCCCACTTGGAAGCTCCCAGGTCTGGCCAGGACAGGATGGGTAGTGGGAGGAAGCAGCTTCCCCAGCCTGACTCCTGACTGGCATCCCCCGGCTGCCCGCTCCTGCCCCCTGGGCTGACGTCCCAAGGCACAGCTGTCTGCGGTGAGTCAGCCTGGAGCCCACGGGGCTGCACACAGGGCTGAGGGTGGAGGCGGGCGGGGTGCTGCCCTGACCCCAGCTGGCTGCGCCCCACCCCGCCCCCACTTGCAGGCAGTGATTTTCCGTCATGAAGGGGATAAGAAAGCAGCTGAGGTTCTGTGTGACATGGCCCAGTTCATGTCACCCCACTGAGCAGGGCGGCACTCTCAGGCCTCCTGGGTTTCGTCCAGCTCCCCTCCTGGCAGCTCCCATTTCTGTGCTAACTCCTGCTCTGGGAATGGGGGTGTCCCTTCTTGCTGAATCCTGCTTCTCCCTGAAGCCCGGGTGCCTCTGGGATGGGGCTTGAGGGACTTGGAGGGAGATTTGGGGGTAAATAGTGAGATCAGTCACCAAGATGGCCCAGGCTGCTGCATGTGACTCATGTCAAGAGCTCAGTGGTAGAGCCCTTGCCTAGCATGCACAAGTCCTTGCGTTTCATCCCCACCACACACACACACACACACACACACACACAAAGGGGAGTGGTCAACGGCAGGCAGGTTCCCTTGGATCACTACAGGAATTTGAAAATTCTCCCCACATTCCACTGTGGACTGCAGGCCCAGTGTGATCAAGGTCCCCTCCAGGCCAGCTTCCTTGTTGCACTTTGAGCTTTCTGTCCCCCTGCCTGGGAGTTTGTCTCTACACCTTTGTTCCCTGGGGACTTAGGTCTGGGCCCAGTGACCTTCCGTCCTGGGGCC